TCGTAGTCGTCGTCGTCGTCGTCGTCGTCGTCGTCGTCGTAGTCGTCGTAGTAGTAGTAGTAGTAGTAGGTGTAATACGAGTAGTCGTAGTAGCAGTACTAGTAACAGTAGTAGTAATAGTAGTAGTAGTAGTAGTAGTCGTAGTAGTAGTAGTCGTAGTAGCAGTAGTAGTCGTAGTCGTAGTCGTAGTCGTAGTCGTAGTCGTAGTCGTAGTCGTAGTCGTAGTCGTAGTCGTAGTCGTAGTAGTAGTAGTAGTAGTAGTAGTAGTAGTAGTTGTAGTAGTAGTAGTAGTAGTAGTGGTAGTAGTAGTAGTAGTAGTAATGGTCGTAACATGTGTCTGTTTCTGCTGATTGCTATTGTTGTCCGCAGCCGCCTAGGCTCAACAGGTAACTTGACCATCGACTGCGACGCTGCAACTCACCCACACCTACACTCATGAGGACCGTTGCTGCCTTTCTTGGACTGGCCTTTGTACTTGCTGCGAATGGCCTGCATCTGGACGCGGGCGACAAACGCGCCCGACAGCGCAGCGAGATGGTGGCCTGGGTGGACGAGGAGTCTCAGGGGCGCCGTTGGGGGGTCCGACGACGACGGCGACGACGACGTCCACGACGACGACGGCGACGATGACGACGACGACTTCGATTTCGACTTCGATGACGACGACGACGACGACGACGATTCCGACTTCGATGACGACGACGACGACGACGCTGACGACTTCGATGCTCTGCACGCGGCCTGGGTTGCGGGTTTGGCTCGGGTCCCGGGCGGATGCGCTCAGCGGGGGATGCGATCAGGCTGAGGGGGGTGCGCGGTTTGAGGTTTTCAACTGTTTTCGTCGGCCCTCGGCGGCTTTCCGGCCTCGGGATGCCTTCCGGCTGCCGCGCCCCGCCGCGGGCGTTCCGGGGGGGCCGTCATTGTCCCGAACGACAGCCAGGGAGCCGAGTCATAACCCGAAAGTCAGGGGTCAACGTTTGGGGGGGATGCGCTCATGGGGGGACGCATCGACCCCGAATCTCCAATTGATCGCCGATATGGGGCCCCACAGCCCCACCCCGCCCAGGAACGTGCGGAGTCGCCATCGGGAGCCTATCGCCGATCTATCGGCGATGCATCGCTGACTCCAAGACAATGTTCCCTCCCTGAGCCAGTCCACTCCTGCCGTTGCCCCTCAGGAAGAGTCCCAGAGCCGCGTTGCGGTCTTGGTCACTGGCAGCCTCGACAGCCTGCTCCTCGCGCCCCTGCTGTCGAACGTCGTGCGCGCCAACGCCCACAGGGGCCTGCGGGTGGACGTGTATTTCAGCCTGAAGCCGTCTGCGAAGGGCAAGCAGGGCGTCGCCGCGGACCCGAAGATCGCGAACCTCCTGAAGAACTTCGACGAGGCGAGCTATGGCGGCAAGCCCATGGACTTCGTCTGCCACCTCGCGAGGGGGGCGGGCGCGGCCAAGTGCGCGTGGCAGCTCGAGGCCGAGGAGGCGGTGCCCGCGCTGAAGGAGAGCCCGAGCCAGCGCAGCATGATGACGCACTACCAGGCTTCAGTCGGGCACGCCCCTGCACAGGAGGAGAATACTCGAGGAGGGTCCACAAACTCGCCTGGGGACGATCTTCTGGGCCAGTTTTGGGCCAGTGTTGGGCACGTTGTGGCTATTTGGAAGTGTCCGCCCGAAGAGCCCGCCTGTGGAGAGAGGCCGCGCCCGACCCGAGGCCGGCACCGCCGAGGGCAGGGAGGCCGTCGCGCGGTGGCGCGCGCAGTCCCGCCTGTGGGCTCTGGCGCGCGGCCAGGAGCCCTCGGTCACCACCCACCAAACCACCCCAACCCGACCCGAAGGATCAGATTTACCTTCGATTTCTAGTGGGGGGGGGTCCGGGAACATCGAAAAAACACATATGGAGCCCATACCCCCCCCAACCCGAAATTCGGGTCTTCGGGTTGGGTTGGGGTGGTCTGGTAGGTAGTCACTCGGGGAGGGGCGGCCCGCAGGGGGGGCGGGGCCTCCCAGGCCGGGGGGACCTCCCTGCGGGCCGCCCGGGGTGCCCGGGGTTGTCCTGGGTTTCGGTGGTTTTCCGGGCATGGGCAGGACCTGCAGGTAATGGGGACCCGGTCAGTGGTAGGTAGGGCCCCGGAGCGTTCGGATTGGCCCGAATACTGAACCAGGTTTGCCATAGCTGGTGTTTTTTCGGGTGACGGCAGTTCCGGTCAGTGGAAATGGGACGGGGGGGCGCCCCCGGTACAGATCACTAAACCAGGTTCCACTAAACCCAGTTCTACCAACGCCCGAGTTTTGCAGTGGAATCGTGACGTTCCCACGCCAAGAATCAAGGGAGTCCCGTGGTCTCAGGAATGGGCTTCTTGTGGAAGGTTTTTCGTGGACTGGCCTCCACTGTGTAGAGACAGGCAAGACGGTGAAGTGAGGAACAGCTCGGGTTTAGAGGGAGTCTTCCGGCCCCTGCAACCCCCAAGGGATGAGAAAGAGGGGATCGGCGACTTCAGAGCGGCCAGAAGAATTCGATCATCAGGAAGTCTCAAGCAACATCGCAACTTCTGGCGGCATGGAATGCTACCATAAGTAGTCTTGGCTGAAATCCCTTGCGTAATCGGCCTTTTCGGTGGCATGGCAGAACTTCAGTCGCATGTGAAGGCGACCGTTTTTTTGTGCTGAGTAAGTCGCGGGCGGAATCCCACTTTCCCGTCGAGGTCCCACTTGGCCCCTGTATCTAATCGTAAGTGTGACGATGGAGGCAACATAATTTCCAGCATGGGCATCGAACCCACCATTGTCCCAGGGCCCCGCTGCCTAAGGGGAATCAATCAGCACTTCCTGCACGGTCTCCGCAGTATGCATTTTAGTCCAGAAGCTTGCAGGTCCTTCCATGACTGTTCCTCGGGTGCTCCTCGCGCACTGGGGCGCTCCTGGACCCCAAAGACGCTCTCCCGTCCTCCTCGGCCCTCTTGGCCTCCCAGGGGGGGGGGCCCTCCTCGTCACCGCGGCCAGATCCGCTGAGGAATCTGGGCGGGAGCGGGAGGGGGAGGGGGAGGGGAGGGGGAGGGGGAGGGGGGGGAGGGGGAGGAGGGAGGAGGAGGAGGAGGAGGAGGAGGAGGAGGAGAGGAGGAGGAGGAGGGGGGCGGGGAGCCGCGGTCAGAGCGGCACCTCTCTCGGTGCCGCCCGCGGGTGCTGCCCGAGAGGTGCCCCCGGCCCGAGGTGTCTCGAGAGATGCCCCCTGGGAGGCCGTGGCGGCCTCCACCACCACCATGAGTTGGAGGGGGGGGGGGGCCTTCCTCCTCCTCCTCCTCCTCCTCCTCCTCCTCCTCCTCCTCCTCCTCTCCTGCCCCTTCGCCCCATCCAACTTATGGTGGTGGTGGTGGAAAACGCGCTCATCACCTGGGAGGCCGCGGCGGCCTCCACAGGGCACCCCCTCCCGATGCCCCGAGGGCCCCTTGGGGTCTCCACAGAGGAGTGGTGTTCGCAAGGGTTGGGGTATACGCGTTGCTCCTGTATAATTCTTCGAAGGTTCTTTGGTTTTTTGGGGGCCAAGGTACTCTCATGTCTGATTATTCTATCCTGGGCCCCTTCCTGGCCACCAGGGGACCAAGAACACTTAGAAACGAGCACAATTAGAAATGAGCACGATTAGAAATGAACGACGTGTATACCTGCAGTGGGGGCGCTCATCAAGAATTCCGATGTTGTTCGCCAGGGTACCCTGGGTTTCTTTGCTGCGCGGTGGCTTCCTGCGGGCGTCGAGGACGTGCTGCGCTCAGGGTGCCTTGGGTTCCCCCCGTAAGTTGTGACTCGCGCGCGGACGTTCAGGGCTGGGCTTTTTGCGAGGGTTTCTTGTGGCCGTGTGCGCATTGTAGGCAGGGGGGAAACATCGACACAGACACATACATGCTGATTCCCATGAGAATAGCGGGACTTTCGGGAAATGGAGGGAAGTCACAGGATCCAGGAGATATTGGAAAATGGGAATTTTGGAAGTTGTGTCGATTCTGTGTCTGTGTGTGTGTGTCCTTGGGACCCTGGACAAAATTTGGGGGCCCCCATTGACCACTTCAAGCAAACAAACACAAACACACCCGACGCCAGGAGCTGTCGGAGGGTGAGGGCGAGGACCAGTACGACGCCGTCCTGGTCGCCCGCTCCGACACGTACTGGCTGGCGCCCTTCCTGGTGGACGTTGAGAGCTTCCAGCTGGAGACCTTGCGGGTGTCAACCTCGCAGTGCCCCTAGATTAAGTTGAAGACGCTGGGGTAGGCGTGCTTCTTTCTCGTCTTCAAGATCGTCGTTTTGATCAGTACTGGGGCCAGTTTGTTCCGCCCCCCGTTGTGGGACTCTCGTTCGCGCCGTTTTCGATCAGGTACCGTTTCGTGTTGCCGTTTGTTTTCTGTTTTGGGTTGCCTTTTTTGATCTGCGGCGAGGTTGTTCCGAAGGTTCGGAAGTCCTCCGGCCACCTCTCGGGCAGGAGCATGCCCACTGAGTGGCAAATGGCGGCCCAAACGCAGCATCTCACTTTTTCCAGTATTTGTCGTCAGGAGAACTGGCTGGAAACTCATACACTATAAGTTGTAGTTGTTGCGAAGCCCAATGGGACAAGGCCCAGATACCTCTGCGTATCTGCGCGCGGCTCCCATGCCGAGAAGTTCTGCGCGCCTTCTCCAGAGGCAGGGGCGGCCCCGCCGCTCTCTGGGAAGGCCTCCGCCCCATCGCACTTCCCCCCCGGAGGCCCCGCCAGGGGGGTCCAGCGAGGATCCACGCACTCCGGGTTGACCTTCGAGCGTTCGGGCTTGCGCATGTTTTGCCCATTCTTCCTTCCAGGGGCGACTCCGTCTGCGAGGGTGGGGGGACGAACAGCGGCATAAACATAGGGCAACTCGGAGGTCCGCGCGGGATCTCTCTCCTCTCGGCGCCGGACCCCTGGGCGCGCCGCCGCAGGAGACCCTGCGGGTGTCCACCTCGCCGTGCCTCGACGAGTTCGGCATCGGCGACCGGGCCGTGGCCATGGGCCGCGGGGCGGCCGACGTGATGCTGGGCGTCTACGAGTCGTGGCAGCGGGGCGACCGGAGGCTCGGGGGCAGCACAAAGGGGGGGGGATAGGCCAGGCTCGGGGGGGCGGGGGGAGCACGGCGGACTCGGGGCCAGGGGGGGTTAGGAGGGGGGGGGGGATGGGCTCGGAGGCGGGGGGCGGCGGGCTCGGGGGGGGGGGATCGGCTCGGGGGATGGGCTCGGGGCTCGGACCCCCCCATCACCCGTTCGTCGCCGCCGGGGTCCCGATGGCCCCGCTTGCCCAGGAGCGTGCGGACTTGCCATCGGGGGCCAGCGTGAGGGCGGGACAGGCTCAGGGGGAGACACATCGCCAGAGCCCCGACTCCTCGGGGCTGGGGGTGGTCCGGGGCAGCTCCTGGGTCGTGCCCGGGGGGCCCAGGCCAGAGGTGCCCCGGGACTGGAGCCGTCCCCGATCCTCCAGGCGCAGCCACGGGGCGCGGGGGGGGGTCGGGGGAATTCTCTGTTCGCGCGTCGGCGGCCCAAGCCGGAGGTACCCTGGACCGCAGTTATCCTGGATAGTGCGAGCGTCCATCATCGACCCCTCATCGCCCACTCATCGCTGATGAGCGGGCCCGGCAGTCCACCCCACCCAGGAAGGCGTGGATTGGCCATCGGAGGCCAACCGACGATGTGGCGGCGATGTAAGGCCGATCCCAGGTCGATGTTGTTCCCCTGCTGAGCTGGCCCCCCCTCCTGTCGTCCCCCCTCAAGAGGCTCAGCGGCACACGGACCGCCGAGGAGGTGTGGTTCCGCACGGCCTCGCAGGCTGGGCTCAACATCGTGCCCGAGCCGATGTACGCAGCGAAGTCCCTCTACACGGAGAGCGGGCTGCCTTGCTTCTCGGAGGCGACCTTCAATCCTGTCTGGGAGCCGCACCTCGAGCAGTGCTTCGCGGAGGACGCGGGCGACGCGCCAGTCACCGACCTCTTCAGGGCGTTCAGCTGCGAGACGGCAAATCCGACGTTCTACGATCTGCTCTGGCCCCAGCAGGCCCAGAAGCTGCACAGGATGGTGGCCAGCATTGCCAACCGGAACGAGAGCGATTTTGTCCTCCTCATGGTGGTCGACCAGGGCGAGGTCCAGATGGCGGCGGACACGCTCACCAGCGTCGCCAAGCAAGACCTGGACATGGACACCAACAGCATCGTCGTCGGGACTTCCCCCGGCGTCTGCAAGGTTGGGTCCCCTTTGATTCTTGTAGCGACACCACTCTGAATCTGTTTCGGCGCGCCCAAGACGACCACACCCAAAACGACCACACCCGAAACGACCACTCTAAACTCGTGTAGGCAGGCTCACAAGCGTTTGTGTATAGGACGCCAATCTACAATTCTTACGCACGCCATATGACCTTTGGATAGCATGTCGCTCTGCCGGTTCTGGCCCACCACGGTGCGGCGCGACGCGCTATCCGCCCGCAGGGCATGTCGCCGGGGCCGCCGCCGCTGCACGCGAAGCAAATGTTCCTGAGCGTATGCGCGCATGCCTAATTTGGCCTCCCAGGGTTGTCAATTCGGCGTCACCCGAACATACTAATACTATATGCGCGCCGCCCCCCCCCCCCCCAGGGGCGACGCGCGCACCGAGAAATCTTATAGTGTACGCGTCGTAGCGGGCGCTTTCTGGCCGCAACGCTCGGGAGACGATAAACTACAAGATGGATATACTACATGTTCGGGTCGGACGCGCGCCTCCAAGGATAACATCTAGTCTAGTACTGGTATGTCTCTGGGCTTCCCACAAAATAATTACAAGGAAGCTAATAATTCAAGGCCCTGGCCGACTCGGCTGGCGTGTCCGGGCACAAGTGCCTGGCGGTCGTGCCGCAGCAGGGCGTCCGCCTCAGCGTCTTCAAGCACGCCATCCTCACGACCGTGGCCGCCGCCGGCCTGAGCCGCAGGGTTGTGTCCCTGTCGCCCGGCGTCACGTTCGCCACGGGGATGAGGACCCGGCAACGTCAGGGGGGGGGGTATCGGGGTCAGGAACAAGCGCATCATACACGATACAGGCGATGTTATGTCCCTGGGCCTCCTGGATGGGGTTGGAGTAGATGGGGTTGGAGGATCGCGCCGCGTCGCTGATGCATCTCCGATGCGGCTCGATGTGGAGCCCGATCTGCTTCACGTCGACGTGGCCGATGCATCGCACACGTCGACGATGCGTCGCCGCCGATGCATCGCCCATGTATCGGCGATGCGGCGCGATCCCCCGATCCCATCTACTCCGACCCCATCTAGGAAGCCTCTGGCAACGTCAGGGGGGCGGTGTCGGGGCCAGTAACAAGCGCACCATACACTCTACACAAGATGTTATATCTGTCCAGCACTCCGTGGTACATGGCGGCCCGAACGCAGCATCCCGGAGATCCGACGCTGCAACCCAAAGTGCAACATCGCAGAAGATCACGACCGGACCCCCAGAACCCCATCTTCCTGCGCACTGTTCGAGCCGGATATATCAGAGCGTGAATTACCTACCCCGCTTTCGCTTCCAGGCAAAACCAAGCCATACCACGCGCCTCCTCGTCGAGCGGCCTGACCAGTGCAGGCTGCAATTTGGCATCGTTTGGTATCTCTTGGAAGCGAGGGTGGTCAAAAGCGAGGTAGGCTTGTTTTCCCCCTGATATATTTGTGAGGGCCCTGGGGCCCGAAGCGGAGCGAGCACGCCCGGCTCGAAAAAATGGGGTCGCCAGGACCTTAGGGACAGCGTAGCTACGTATACACCTTGGGCGATGCTTAAGAAAACTCTAGTTTTCGGCCAGAGTCTCGATTTTTCCTTACGTTTCAATGTGAATCCTAAGATTTCCATGGAAATGTTGGGTTTTTTATCCAAGTTCTGAGACTATGAATTTCTTAACCCATGATTTCTTAGGCATTTCGCAGGGTGTACCGGGGGACCGGACCCAGCCAGTCCGCTGCTGGGAGGCCCCAGAGTGAGGGGCAACGTTAGGGGGGCACCAGCTTAGTTCGACTAGACGTAAGAGTGACCTTTCGCCGGAGTGACCTTTGGTGCGGGCACAGATGGGCCCCCAGATGGCTGAAAACGAAGTGCAGCTGCTGCTTGCGCGCCCAGGTTTGGCCCCCCCGCGGCCCCTAAAAAGTCGGGCACCAAAGGTCACTCTTACATAGGGTGACTCTTGCGTATAGCCGATTAGTGGGGGACGCATCGACTTGGAATCGACGATACATCGTCGATCGGTCAGCGATATGCCCCCGATAGTGAATCCGCACCTTCCTGGGCGGGTTGGGGCCATCGGGCCCCTATCGGCGATCCATGGGCGATTGGGGGTGGCTGCGTCTTCCCCTTGTCCCTCTCCCCCCCCCCCTAATCGTTAGATAGCGACTGGTTTCCTTTCAAAACCGAGGGAACCCTCCCGAAACGCTCCGAAAACCCTCCGGGAAGAGCTCCGGGAGGCTTCTCGAAGGGCGTCGAAGGGGTTTTGGAAGGGTCTTTGTCGCTTCGGGGGGAACCAGTCCCTAGCGACCCCTGGGCCTTCTAACCTCCCAGACCCCCGACGTCATGATTTGTTCATTACGTCGACCCCCAAAGGTCCGGACCCATTCCCAAGGACCAATCTTTCATTATGAACCGTTTTTTAGCGGTCCAGGGACCCGGAAGGGCCCCCAGAGGCCGAAACCAACGAAAAATATCCCGTCGCGATTTTTTCATTACTCGAGGGGGTCTGGCCTTCTCGTTGCTTCCGGTAGCTCCGCCCCCCGGAGCGCTGCAGGCCGCCGCCAGAGGGTGGCTCCGCACGTCCACGAGCCGCCCCAAGCGCTGAGCGCGCCAGGGGCGGCGCCGGAGGCGCCGCCAGGGGGGTCCAGCGCGGATCTGTGCGGACCTCCGAGTCATGATGTTTGTGTCATTCTTCGATCCCCTAGACTCCCCCCCCCTTCCTCCTCCTCCTCCTCCTCCTCCTCCTCCTCCTCCTCCTCCTCCTTTGGATACGCTGTGCTCCTCCTCCTCCTCCTCCTCCTCCTCCTCCTCCTCCTTCCGTAGCCATTTTGGCTGAAGTCACCATGTCGCGCTGCGGCCGCATGGAGACCTCTGAGCCGAGGCCAGTCGCCAACTGCTTCCAGCCACAACCAGGGGTGAGCTGGCACCCAAGCTTTCTGCCGCCACTTTCAGGGGCTTGCGGCCGCCCATTCCTGCTCATTATTCTGGCACTGCAGGCTGCCATTCATATCGCGCTGTCGAGCGGCCCGACTACCGTCGCCGTGAACCAGCTGGACTTCGGCCTGACTGACGTCGCCGTCTTCCGCCTCCATAGCCCGCTGGACGTCGACCCGCTCGTTCCCCAGTAGCAACAGCCGCCACGTGGTGGCACCGCGAAGGCCCTGGAGTCTGGCGCTCTCACCCTCAACTTCCTGAAGCAGAACAGCAGCCTGTCCGACAGCAGCCCACAGTCGCAGCCATGTCATCTTCCAGCGAAGAACGCTCTACCTCTCGCAGCGCCCCATTTGCCAGCCGCAGAAAGAAAGATCGCCGACGAGAACGTGAACGACACGACCAAGATCGCGCCGCTCGAGGTCACCCAGATCGTGCTGATAAAAGTGGTCGAGCAGCTGCAGTGCGTGCCACCCTGGACTCGTTCGGCGACGCAGGCTTCGCTACCCAAGCAGCGCCACGCTCGGGGCGCGCATCTGGACACGCCGCTCGTCCTTGTCGATCTTCAGCTCGCGCACGCCAGCAGCCGCCCCACTTCGCCATGGACACTGGAGAAGACGAAGCCGCAGATTCAGCGCGTGCCGCCGCCGCCGCCACGGCACGCCAATTTCAAGCAGGTGAGTGGACCGAGCCGCCGTCTCAACTACCAGGTGAAGCACTACGCCATGACCCACTCGCTGCTGCTGGCCCATGGCGCGCTGGAGGTGCAGCAGCCGCTGGAGGAGCTGCCGCCGTCTGAGCCGCCGCCGATACCGAAACTGCCACTCCAGGCGAACCCGTTCGCCTACCAGGTCTGGATCCAGAACTCGACAAAGCTCTTCAAGATCTCATGCAAGCTCAGGCCGCACACGTCGCCAGTACTTTCCAAGCTCAAGCCAACCAACTGCTCGACGATTCACGCGAAAGCTTTCGCCAACTTCTCGCACAGCAAGTCCAAGCTACTGAACGCCGAGTTGACACCCTTCATGATGTCGTCGCCCGCACTCGTAGAGAACAAGACCGCCAAGCAGATGAACATACAAAAATGTGGCAGCATATCGACCATATGCGAGAGACCCTCGCGCTCGCCGGGGCCCAGGCGCCGATCACGGACCTCACCAGGCTCGCCGACTGGGACCGCGAGATCGACCCCGCGATCTTCACCGTCGGGGCGCAGCGGCCCATCGCGCCCGACGCGCTCCTCAACGACCTGCAGGAGTGGATCGCCTCCGCCAACCTGGGCCCCGACGCCGTCGAACTTCGCGGAGACGAACCTGCGCGCAGATTTGTGCTACACGTCAAAGGTGGACGCGACGTGGCCATCCCGCGCGCACTGGCGCTCACCCGAGCCCTACGCGACGCTGGAGGCAAATGGAAGCGCTTCGCTCACCTCCGTCGACACCTCGGGCACGCCGACGGACATCTACCTCAACCCCGACAAGTCGCCAGAGCAGATCCGCACCGAGGTCCAATGCAAGAAACTTCTCCAGCTCCTCCAACACCGTCATCCCCAGAAGTCATGGAGAGCATGCCGAGCCAAAGGCGATATCCACTGCGACGCCGCGCCCGTCGCGCGCTTGGACGTCGAGGGACAAGCCGGCCCCGCCGTCCTGGAGTGGAACGAGAATGCGTTCGAGCTCGCCACCTTCCGCGACCTCGATCGCGGCGCCATCCTCACGTCGTTCCAGGCGCTCTTCGCGGACACAGCGGAGGCCACGCGGCGGGTTTAGCCACCCTTGGGCGCCGTGGAAGCCAGTCGAGGACGATAGGCCCAGCTTATTCATCGCGTGGAACGCTAGGGCCCTCATGTGCCACAAGCGCTCCAAGCGCCGTCGCAAGCAGGCGGCCTTGCAGCAGAACGTGCGGAAGGGCGCCGTCATCTCCCTGCAGGAGGTCCATGGCTCGGAGGCGCTCCTCCGCACCTGGGTCGACACGCAGCCGTGCCCGTGCAAGCTCTTCTTCTCCCAGTTCGTTGCGGCAGACGACGACGAGGCCCTCGCTGGCACGGGCGGCGTCGCTCTGCTCATGCCGTGGTTCACGCATGCGCAGCTCGAGCTCTTGCAACCTGC